AGACCTCTCATGACTCCAACAAGCTGGTCCTGTGCAATGCGCTTCGACCCAGGCCCTCGTGTCTCGCGTCCCTCCCGAGGACCTCCCGCTGGCCGAGGAGAGTGACTCTTTGGAGTCAGGGTGAAGGCTGGCCGGATGCTTACAGGCACTGTCCTATGAACGAGGAAGAATCGTTGGCATGCCTTGTGGTTTGGTGGCATCACGTAGCGCAGCTCGAATTGAGCATGGTCTTCTTCGCCCTCGTTTCCAGACCCAGCTCTTTCAGATCCAGGCGGGGTGTCTGGTAGATCGACAATACCGCGGCGCTTGTGTGCCTCATACGCGGTCGTTCGGACAATCCCGACTTGTCTGGTCCTGCCCAGCTGATGCACCTTTGTTTTTCCTGCTTCCAGACATGGGTCTACTGGGAATGGTTTCACTCCAAGTCCAATTGGAGTGGTGCCATTGGCCGCGAGGGCGCGGATGACGAGTGGCATCAGGCACACCGGTTTTCCACTTTTGAAGCTCATTTCCCACACGAGCTTTGGGCTTTCCCACTGGAGGCGGCGGTCTGCATCTTTGAGTATATCTAGCGTAGTGCATTGGGGAAGTGCTTTGGGAACGGTTGGGTCGGATTCATGCAGCTGAAGTTGTATCGAATCGTGACTAACGTTTCTATCGAGGACCCGGGTGTTTCCCGGTTTTTCCAATGCATTACCCTCTGTGTTCCAGAGGCTTGCTAGGAATACTCGAGACTTCGCCCGCAGTGTGAATGGAAAACAGTGTGTGCGAGTCGCGTCGGCTTTGAGTGCGGTCCTCTGAAATGTCTTCATGCATCGAGTTTGGCAGGCTTGGGTGTGCATGTATCATTTTTGAGGAACGTGTACCTGCTTGCTAATTGTGGCTTAAGCTGCAGCTAGAGCCAAATCTGGCAAGCTGGTATTCTTTTCTCCCACCCGCTCGCCCTGGGACACCGACCTCCGGTTCAGTTGTCCGTGGTCCAGGTTAGTACCGTTCTTCCCCTTTTCAAGGTACTGGGGCAGTATGTGTGACATACGTCCTGTATGGGAACGGTTGGGTCGGATTCATACAGCTGAAGTTGTATCGAATCGTAACTAACGTTTCTATCGAGGACCCGGGTGTTTCCCGGTTTTACCAATGCATTACCCTCCGTGTTCCAGAGGCTTGCTAGGAGTACTCGAGACTTCGCCCGCAGTGTGAATGGAAAACAGTGTGTGCGAGTCCCGTTATGCTTGAGCGCGGTCCTCTGAAATGAATAAAGACACAGAACAGGGATACGGGAGACCTCGTACGTCAAACGAAAAACCCCCCGTGACGCTTTCTGTCTTGCTGTTGCCCTGCTTCCGGCCTAGGCAAGCCCAGTCCGAAGTCAGACTGTGGCAGCACGAAGCGCAGGCATTGGCATGGCAGCTTCAAGCTGTCCGCCCCTTCGTCAGATTAGGCTTCACGCACCCTATTGCCTCACGATTCGCAAACTGAACATGGTTTGCATTGAGGAAGAGAATTGGCAGCCAAGAAAGCCGAGTTCCAGGCAGTTTCTGTCTGAGTGAAAACAGCTGCCAGTCGTTGATCAAGGTCGCAGTTTTCGGACGCGTTGCATACAGAGGGAGCAGCAGAACATTAAGTATAAAAGCTTGACTATCCCACTGCGGTACTTCCTCGAAACTTCCAGGATCAAACTGTGCTCTTGTGACTGTTGTGTCTGATTTTTGCGTGCCGCTCGCTTGCCAGGCAAGCGTGGCGGAGGACAGGCCTCGAGATGAGCGCGGTCTTCCTGCACATGTGCAAGCAGAAGCACGCATGAAGGTCCCCGGCTCCTTCTTCGAACATTAAGTCTAAAATCTTACATATCCCACTGCGGTACCTCCTCGACGTTTCGATGATCAAACTGTGCTCATGTGTTTGCTTCTTGCATGCCGCTCGTTTGCCGGGCAAGCGTGGCGGAGGACACGCCTCGAGATGAGCGCGGTCTTCCTGCACATGTGCAACCAGAAGAAGCACAGACGAAGGTCCCCGGCTCCTTCTTCGAACATTAAGTCTAAAATCTTACATATCCCACTTTTGTACTTCCTCGACGCTTGGAGGATCAAACTGTGCCCTTGTGTCTGCTTCTTGCGTGCCGCTAGTTGCCAAGCAAGCGTGGCGGAGGACACGCCTCGAGATGAGCGCGGTCTTCCTGCACATGTGCAACCAGAAGAAGCACAGATGAAGGTCCCCGGCTCCTTCTTCGAACATTAAGTCTAAAATCTTACACATCCCACTGCGGTACTTCCTCGACGCTTCGAGGATCAAACTGTGCCCTTGTGTCTGCTTCTTGCCTGCCGCTCGCTTGCCAGGCAAACGTGGCGGAGCACACGCCTCGAGATGAGCGCGGTCTTCCTGCACATGTGCAACCAGAAGAAGCAAAGATGAAGGTCCCCGGCTCCTTCTTCGAACATTATGTCTAAAATCGTGCATGTTCCACTGCGGTACTTCCTCGAATCTTCGAGGATCAAGCTGTGCTCTTGTGTCTGCTTCTTGCGTGCCGCTCGCTTGCCAGGCAAACGTGGCGGAGGACACGCCTCGAGATGAGCGCGGTCTTCCTGCACACGTGCAACCAGAAGAAGCAAAGATGAAGGTCCCCGGCTCCTTCTTCGAACATTAAGTCTAAAATCGTGCATGTTCCACTGCGGTACTTCCTCGAATCTTCGAGGATCAAACTGTGCTCTTGTGTCTGCTTCTTGCGTGCCGCTCGCTTGCCAGGCAAACGTGGCGGAGGACACGCCTCGCGATGAGCGCGGTCTTCCTGCACATGTGCAACCAGAAGAAGCAAAGATGAAGGTCCCCGGCTCCTTCTTCGAACATTAAGTCTAAAATCGTGCATGTTCCACTGCGGTACTTCCTCGAATCTTCGAGGATCAAAATGTGCTCTTGTGTCTGCTTCTTGCGTGCCGCTCGCTTGCCAGGCAAGCGTGGCGGAGGACACGCCTCGAGATGAGCGCGGTCTTCCTGCACATGTGCAACCAGAAGAAGCAAAGATGAAGGTCCCCGGCTCCTTCTTCGAACATTAAGTCTAAAATCGTGCATGTTCCACTGCGGTACTTCCTCGAATCTTCGAGGATCAAACTGTGCTCTTGTGTCTGCTTCTTGCGTGCCGCTCGCTTGCCAGGCAAACGTGGCGGAGGACAAGCCTCGAGATGAGCGCGGTCTTCCTGTACATGTGCAACCAGAAGAAGCAAAGATGAAGGTCCCCGGGCTCCTTCTTCGAACATTAAGTCTAAAATCGCGCATGTTCCACTGCGGTACTTCCTCGAATCTTCGAGGATCAAACTGTGCTCTTGTGTCTGCTTCTTGCGTGCCGCTCGCTTGCCAGGCAAACGTGGCGGAGGACACGCCTCGCGATGAGCGCGGTCTTCCTGCACATGTGCAACCAGAAGAAGCAAAGATGAAGGTCCCCGGCTCCTTCTTCGAACATTAAGTCTAAAATCGCGCATGTTCCACTGCGGTACTTCCTCGAATCTTCGAGGATCAAACTGTGCTCTTGTGTCTGCTTCTTGCGTGCCGCTCGCTTGCCAGGCAAACGTGGCGGAGGACAAGCCTCGAGATGAGGGCGGTCTTCCTGCACATGTGCAACCAGAAGCACAGATGAAGTTCCGTGATGAAAATCTGGCCCGCTCCAATCCATGGATGTTGGAGCAAAGCTCAGCAAGAACCATGCCTATGGCTCCCGCGACCGCTCGCTTTCTGAGCGCACAGCTGCAGAAACCCACAACTCCAACAGTGCTCTCCGGTCCGTCTGCGTCTCCGGTGCTTAGCACAGTGCCTGTGTGGTTTACACCACGTGTGTCCGTTGCCAGGATGTCTCAGGTCCTGCCCACAGGTGCTGCCGTCATCATTGATGGTCTGATGCTGTGCCCGACCTTGAATGGTTGGATTGGCAACGTCAACTCTTATGACGCATTGACCAACCGCTACAACGTGCAGTTGCCCTTGACGGACAGAACTCGAACTTTGGTCCGTGCTGTGTCATGACACGTAGTGTTTGCAATGATTGTGCCACTGGCATCCTTTGTTGAGGACAACGGTGTCAACCAGATTGCCAAGATCAGACCCGAGAACCTGAAGATCCACCGAAGTCCTCGGTGCCAGTGATTTGCTTGCTCTGTGGTTTGCACGACGGACTTCTTACGCATAAATTCGCCAACTTTGCATGCTGCCTGCTCTATCCTGCAGCCAAACGTCGCTGCTGGCAGAGCCCGATGAATAGTTTGGTTTCGATTTTTCAGCGCTCGTGGCAAAGAATGCTCCATACCACTGCGTGGCATGCGTGGCCCCTCATGTCCGGCACCGTCGCCCGGGGATCTGCTTTGGCAAGCGGATCAAGGAGCAGGGTTCCTGTACCGCACAGGTTTCCTGCAGCCGCTCCTGAATTGTAACCGGCACGCGTAAACAGTGAGTCCCATGTTTACGTGGTGCTTTGGGACCTTGGCCCTAGCTGCTGTCTGCGACTTGGTCTCACAAGTATGCCGTTCTTGTCGTAAAGGCTGCTACACGTAAACATCATTTTCTTCCTCTCGCCTGGCTGGGGTCAATGCCCACACCCGTAAAGACTGGGAACCGGCTGACTACTGTCTGCCAACACATGAGTACCTTTGCGGTCGATCTCATGCTGCAAGTTTTGTTTTATCTGATTAGGAGCCTGATTTACAGATGGCATATTTACAACAGCAGTTTGTTCTCAACGGTTCTTAACTTCGACCCGAGCTTTAGCTGTTTCAAATCAAGTTGCACCCGTAGCTGTGCTTCACCCTGCCCGAGTGCCACGGCGTTGCAGGAGGCACTTGATTGTGGATTCTGACCACAGTGGCTTCTGGCTCCATGTTCAGGGATATGTTTGTGTCAGGTGGATGTTTGTTCTGATCACTGCAGCATTGCTTAAAAGTGCACGAAAGCTGGTTCTTAAATCTTGTGGGTTGCTCGACAGCTGTCTGCCGTTTTTGTTTACCACAACTGATACTGAGGCTGCTGTGTCGTGGCTGGCCGAGTTCGAGTCCCCTTGCTGCGTTGGGATTGTTTGTTTTAAAGGCTTTCGGTTTCTTCTGGTGGTCGGGTAGGACCCGTGCCGGATGTCGCAAACGACTTTCAACTCCAGCGCGCTGCTCGCAGCTCCGGTTGATTCCGTTCGAAGGTCCCAGCGAGGGCGCAACGCGCGATTCCATCTCCGAGCTTCTGGGCCCGACGCCTTACACTCTCTAGATCCCGGTTGTACACAGGGGAGCTGTTGAAGCTCGAAGTCTTCTACAACGAAATTTGGTTGGACAGTGTATTGTCAGGAACGTCTCAGCAGTTGGCTTTGTATTCCTGCCTGCCTTGGTCGAAAGTCGAACGTCGATCCACCAGAAGTTCTCATGCCTCTAGTAGTTCTACTTGGCTCTGGTTCGCCATTAGTTTCCAGACTCTCCTGAGGGTCAACTTTGCACTGCGGCACCCATCGATATAGCCCAAAGGCTCCCTAGACATCCGAATCCGAGGCCTTTGCCCATCCACGGGCAAGCCTGGCGCCGTGAAGGCAGGGACGGGACCTGATGAATGCGGAGCCTGCTAGCTGTCTCCTCGCTTTGCCCGAGGCCACCACCTACCTGGCCTGGGCACTGCCAGTAGCGGCCCCAGGCCGAGCACCAGACGAGCTGTTTTACCGTGTGCCTGAGGGATGCGCAGACGGCTGCCTTCCCTTAGAGTGCGTCATTGCTTCCGGCGCAGCCGAAGAGCTCGGAGCACACAGGGCAGCTGAAGCGCTCAGCGCCATCGGCCGAGGCCGACGGCCGACGGGCGGGGGCGCTCGTCGGAGCGGCGGTCCTGAGTGTCTACAGGCAGGGCGATCAGGGTGAGACACGGTGCTGTTTCGCCAGCTTTCTCTCTGTCTCTCTCTCTTTCTCCCTCACGTCGCAAAACGTTGCAAGAGTCTTTGAAGCTTTGAATCTGGCGGTTTCGTCAGTGCGATTGCGTTTTTGCTGCAGCATTGACGCCAGACAGACGCAGCTCCTCGCAGACGTAGCTGTTTCACCTCGGAGGTTGCAAGCCTTTCGCAAAGACGCTCCATAGCCCGTAGCTATCACCTCCACACTCGCTAGCAGATTCATTAAATAGGACCTGGGCCACCAAGACGAGAACAATCGCCATGGCAGACGAAGACCGTCCGGCCACAGCTGAAGAGGCGCTGCAAGGGAATGATCTTCGACACTCGCCATCATGCAACGTTCCAGGAGCCTGCAGAATGGCACTTCAAAGCCCCGGCTCTGGACGCTTGGCAACGTCTTATCAATCAGCTTTGAGGTGTCCCTTTCGACCCTCTTTTGCAAACCAAGGAGGCTGAACTGGCGAAGCTTCGTGCCCAGCGCGAGGCGCTGCGACAGGAGGAAAAGAGCAGGGAGCTTTGACAACTGCGCGAATGATGAATGACGTCCCCAAAACTGAAGCGAAGATTGCTTGTGCACTGCTTGCTCTGAGCGTGTCTTCGGAAATCTGTGGAGGGCATCAGTGCTTTGGAAAACATGGCATGTTTTTGATGTCGCATGCCTTAGTCTTCGCAGGTCCGGCTGCCATCACCAACCGGAATCATGAAGTGCAGTGCAGAGATGTGCAGAGGAGATCGCTGCCATCCGCCGGCGCGACGAGACAACTGCGGAGGGGAACCGGCCAGGGGCTCGGCCGGCGCGGATCCCTGCTTCTCGCGGCAGGGGCTTTCGCCAAGGCGTGAGCAGGAGCTGCTCGATGGGGCCGCCAAGGCCGAGGCACACTGCAGACTGCCAACAGACTGCCAGTAGACCACGGAGCTTCTGATTGCCACATCTGCGCCTGACGTGCCGAAGCCTCGGTGTCACTGCAGGGCGCTCGGGTCGCCGAGTTCGCCGCGCTCCGGGAGCGGATGGGCGAGGCCCTGGCACTTCGCAGAGTTCCGAAGACAAGCGTAGCGATGGGCACGAACGGCAGGTGAAGGACCAGGTGGAGGACTCACCCTGATTTGGGTCCAGCCCAGACCCAAATTTAAAAATCGTAGGAAGTGTTGAGCGACTCCGTCCCTCAAGGACACCTTGGCGGAAGCCGTGACGACCTCAGTTGAACCCGTTTAAGAACGCCCCTCCGTCACAGCAGATCGGCGGCACTTCTGAGCATGATGTCAGGAAGAGAAGGAGCTCGCCCTAGCAGAGGCCCGCACCAGAGCTTCAGGGACTTTGGGGGGCCGACGGCCGACGAATGCACCGAAGGTGTTCCGATCACCGGTGGTCTTGAGCTCAGTTGTGCTCAGGAATGTCGCGGTCTGCGCGCCGAGCGCATCGAAACGGAGAAGGGGCTTCGCGAGGCGGCGCCGGTACATGCCGCAATGACAGACTCAGAACTCAGCAGAACGGAATCTCTTGGGCAAAAGGAAGCCGCGAAGCTCCGGGCAGTGACACGGCGTACGGAGGAGCTCGAGGCATCGCGCCTGTTCTTCTGGAAGGTAGCTTTGGTCTCATAGAGCACGATGGCGCACGTCATGTTATTCTGGGTGTAAGTGGAACTGTAAGGCAAATTCTTGCCCGGCCTGTGGCGTCCTCTGGTCGAAGCACCTCTCCCGTTCATTGTCTTGGTCTGGAGGACGCTGAGCGAGAGGAGCTTCAGCGCATGGCTGCGGCGCACGCGGCTGTTCGCGAGGCCGAGATGCTACCGAGCCGTATTGGTACGGAGGATGTGCTATGATGTGCCCGCTGCACCCCAGCATTGTGGCCTTGTCGAGGCAGCTCGGAAGAGGAGCAAGGAGCTGCAGGCCGAGAGGGAGACGGGCTCGTTTGGAAATGAGTGGCGGGTCACAGCGAATTCCGCAGGGCTGCGAGGTTTTTTGCGAATTTTGGCAGACACCTCCCGCAAGGAACAGACGGAGAAGAAAGCCAGGGAGATGAGGACCCGTGAAATCCGCAAGTGACTTCTACAATACTCACTCTATACACTCCCAGGACTGTGCAAAAACAGATGCTTGCAGGAATGACCTGGTGGTAGAACTAGAGAAAGTCCATGCCGAACTCAAGAAGGCCGGCTGCTATGCGGCTTCGCTCGTGTGCACAACTTCACTGTGGCTTCCATGTAACCTTCAGAGGTTTGGGGCTTTCTGGCTTGAATCCTTGAAAGCCGCTCCCAAGTCTGGGTTCGCCCAAGATTTCTGTACCTTTTTTGGTTCTGAATGGATGTAGGATGATGTAGGAGAGTAGGAGAGGGATTTCGGCTCCTCACCTCACCGTGGTGGCTTGGCTGAGAGTGGGCGAAAGCTGAAGGCCAAGGAGGGCATCTACGAAGGTGTCCAGGCGGAGGTCGTCCGTCGGCAGCAGGCCCGTGCCAGGTCCAGGGAGCTTAGGGAGCCCAGGGGCAGAGCCCACATGGCGCCAGGTGGTGCTGACGGTAGACGACGAGATCAAGAGCATCGATAGAGCCGCGCGCTTTGAACATGCCTCGCTTTGCTGACCTTGCTCATTTGTGGAAAAAAAGCCTCGAGGTGGTGAACGAGAACTTGGAGGAGGCCAAAGACCGCGCTCGCCACTTGGAGGCGGGAAGCTGCCGGCCGTGGCGGATGAAGCCCAGGGCATAAATCTACTTCGCAGGACCGCACGCATCGGCTTATCCTGGAGACACAGGCGCGATGAAGGATGTCCGGACCCGGAGTGCTGTTACCAGTATCACTTCGGGAATCTTGCATTCCTTTTGCGGGGCCAATTGCAGGCAAGAGACTTCGCTTTGGAAACGAAGCTTTGTGACCATGTTGCCCGAGCAGCCGGGAGCTTCAGACGCGGTTTCGACCACATCCTTTGTCTTGTTAATGGAGCTTTTCTTGAGGGGCAATTAGCTACATGCAGCGGCATGGCCTCAGCAGTTTTTCGTAGAATCCCAGTGGTGTCTTCAAGTCAGGTCGCTGCCCTGGAAGTGGCCTCAACGGTCAAGGCTGCTGAACTAAAATTCCCATCTGCCCGAATCCACTTGACCGCTTAAGGCTTAAGTAGTCAGTCGGGCCCCATGTCATCCGAGTCGATTCTTCCATGCTGAGCCCCTGCTTCCATCCGAATCAACAGCGCCGGTCGGTTCGATTTCGGTGAGCCCCTGGCTGAAGATCCACTGTGCATCGTGTGAAAGGCCGCAGGAAGCGGGGTTTTCAAGACTGCCAGTTCGATGCTTCAGAAACCCAGTCTCCGAAGTCATGAAGTTCTGTCTGACACGCGAGGCGGGGGCTGCCGTGGAGCACAAGGACGAAAGCGTGGCACACACCGGAATCTCTGAGTCGCAGTCGCGCATTGAGTCTACAGGGAGGTACCGTTGCCGGTTGGGTTTTCCGGCATTCCTGTGCTGCTTCGGTGGCAGAGTCTGCGCCTGCTGATTCCAGTAACGTAACACATTATGCACTATGCACACGTTTTCCTGAAGGATGCAGAGCGGCGGCGGCGCGGAACTGCCAAGGCGGCGGCCGTGCTGACGGATGTGACTCAAGTGCCAGCTGTTTCGACTCAATGTTGGCACTTGGCAATTAGCAGAACTTCGCCGGCTGTCAAAGACCATCAAGCAGTGGTTTTGTGACCATCCACAAGTCCTCAGCCTGCTTCCTGCGCAGGCTCTTGGAGACGTGTTTCCAAGAAGCGGCTTGACTTTTCTCGGCAAGGGCGTAGATCGCTTCGACGTCGCTTCGTGTGGCCTGAGGTACCAACTTCAACCTCGTGGGCATGCACACGGCAAAGCCGTCTGTTGGCCCGCTCCCTCTCAGCGTGGATGCTGTCCCGAATGCCTGATCAAGGACCTCCAAGTGCAGTAGCCAGACTTTGCCACATTTGGAGAGCTTGCGGAGAGGTTCCTTGAGGAGGCTGTTTTAGCTGGCAGCGTTGGAGGAAAAATGAAAGATGGGGCAGCTCGCTGTGCACAAATAGCAAGCTGCAGTGGATCCAAGCTTTCAACATGAGGGGCGGCTTTTCACATACTGTACACGAAGCTTCAAGCAGCAGACTTAGCGCAGCCTCGCATCTTGCTAAGTAAGCATCGCACATCTTTCTCTTGTTTTGGGGCCGTCATGGGCCGTCTGGACAGGTATCGTGGCCGTAGGCGCTGTGGATGCCTGGAGTTGCGGCCTCGGCGAGAGCTTCGTGTGGAATCTGCAGATTGTGGTAATTGAAGTACATAGAACCTGCACGGCACAAATTGTGTTTCAAGCAGGAGGGCTGGGGCCTTGCGCGCAAAGGGAAATCCCAAAGCCCGTTCATGGCGTCCAGTTCCAGTTTCATCACAATGTTTGTCATCTGCCGGCAGTGGTCAGCATCAACAACACCGGACCCTACCATGTTCTACTGGAATGGCACGAGCTCTTTCTTTGTGTGTCTATGTAACCATCGCTCCCTCGCCCTCCCGCCGGCTCTCACTCTGACGCTGCCACGGTTTCTTCCACTGCGACGAAGGTTCATCACCTCCCGGCGGAGCGGCGCTGGGGCTGCGTTGCCTCCTCCCCGGAGAGCCGAGCGTTTCTGCCACACTTCGATGTTTCTCGATGGCCTGGAAGCTTTCCTGGAAGTCGTCCGTCTGTCCCAGTGCGTATACTAGATTATGCAGCAGTTTGCTAGTTCCGCGGGCTCTTGCCCAGGCTTCGGTTGGCCACCCGCTTCCTGCAGGCTCAGCAGACCTCTCCGAGCGGACTGTGCATCGGTTTTCAAAAGCACGCAACCTGGGATGCCGTCCTCCGATTCTCCCGCCTTGTTCTCTTAGCACTGCTCGGCAGGCTCAGCAGATCGACCGACTCTATTCAGGCGGGGTGGGGGGCAGCTTGAGTGAACGTGTCGCAATATGTCGCAACTTTGCAGCATGCAATAGCTGCAGCTGTCGGGCTTGCGCACTTGAGGTGTGGACCTCTCAAGGCCCAATGCCTTCGCCACTCGGCAAGTTTAATGGGCGATCTGCGGGATGTTCTCAAAATAAGCGCGAACCACGAATATGTTAGGGAGCCGCTTGTGGCTCAGGCTTCAGCGACACCAGCACAGAATAGAATTATGTGACTGATGTCTCAACGCGAAGACCGTACGGTCAGAACTGACGGTACAAGATCATGATCATTCAGTGGAGTGTCCACCGGAGAGTCCCGCTCTTGGAGGCTATGATCATGATGTGCAGCGGTTGGAAAGAACTCACAACAACAATACCAAAGCGTATGCACCTGACAATCGGCCAACAGGGCAGGATGTGCTCGAGAGCTTGCGAACATCGCAGGATTGCATGACGCATTGCAACAACGCAGTGGATTCTCTTAAATGGGCGACACAAGAGATTGCATGGCAGTGCCAAAACGATGTGTCCGACAAAGCATGGCTGAGTCGTCGGACATGACCTGCAGAAGTCAGAAGCCTTCGCTGGTGAAGAAGTGGTTGGGGACGCAAGCGCGACGAAGAAACCACAGCTCAAGATCTCATTGAATTGATTTCGAAGTTCATTGAGCATCATACCGAGTGGACCGACAGGATCGATACGTCCATCATCAAGGCAATCGAGCCGGCAGCAGCACAGCACAGTGGGAATGACATCAACAATCCGAGTATGCTACACAGGGGCAGGGATAAAGATAACTTATGATAGGTTCATGGGCGGCTGGCAGCCAAAATAGTCTAAGAGATTTCCTGCATGATACAGGCAGTGCATGCAAGCTCATAGGCGATAAGTAGTTCAAATAGTGTTGAATGCAGGAATTCGCGGTGTAGTAATGGGCAGTGCAGCAATGTGCAGTGCAGCAGTGTGAAGCGCAGCAGGTGTGCACTGCTTCTGTAACAATGGAGTTAGGCTCAGCTCGTACCTGGTTTCAGTTTTCGGGTAGCAGGCCATGATTGTGCACTGAGTGGTGCTGCTTGTTTTTCTTGCCTCTGTCTCTCTCATGCTCTCCTCGCCCTGGCTCACACTCGTGGTCCAAATATTCACGGCCTCTAGTTGACTCCAGCTTTTCGTCAAAGTTGAGCGTATACCACATAGCCATATTAACAAGTTCATGGCATGGCATGCTGGTCCTCCCATACCCGGATGAGCAGACATGACCGCAGCCACAACCCATCAGACAAGGAAGACGAGACGAAAGGGGGGAGAGATAGAACGAACGACGAAGAATGGCAGAGCTGTGCCGAACCTCGTACCACGGCATGCCAGGAGGCTCATCGGCGCTGGGGATTTCGTGTCGTCGAGGAGCAGGCGGGAAGGGTTCTTTCAAGATCACTCGTCCACAGACAGCGAGTCCTAGCGGTTCCGGTGTCGTGTGTTGAAGACCAGACACGGACAAAGGAGTGGGCACACGCGGGCCTTGCATTCTATCGTCAAGGCGATGTGCCGGGTGCCCGGTGTGGCCTTGAGTTGAACAGCCATGAAATCCAGTATGGCACAAGCAGAAGGACGTAGCGTACAGTACTTGTCTTCCGAAGTTCAGAGCGTTCTCACGTGGCTCCTAAGGAGGTATATGCTTCTGGATCTGTCCGCAGACCCAGGCCGAATGTGTAGAAAGCTCTGTTGTTTCTATGGCAGATTCTGCGCCATGTGAGTGCATGAATGGCACGGACAGTTATAGGCCCAGGAAAGTTGGGCCCTTCACATTCTCATGGCCTCACGCTTGAAGCGTTAAGCTTAGAATTGGGCTGAATATCGACCCGGTGTTGGATTGAACCTGAACTCGGGCCTCAGGCCCGACTGAAGCCCACGTTGGAGTTCAGCCAATCAGCTACTGGGAAACTCAAGCACATGATTGCGAAGCTTCGTGCCTGGCTTGTCGAGACTGCACATGTTGCAGGCCAAGAAGCAGTTGGAGTGTAGCTGCCGCCAGCTGTTGCGCCCTTACACCGTATGTTTTGTGCGTAGGGAGTGCTTTTCTCTTGCCAGCAGCAGAGTGTGGACAAGTGAAGGTGAACAGAAATAAAGCCCGAGGCCACCCCACACTGTTCGAAAGAGGTTCGACTCATTCCTACGTTGTAGAATGAGGCCATGGAAGCCCACGAGATCCAAAAGAAACGAGTAGTTTTGCGTACCCTCTCAGGGGAAGCGGACATGTACCAGACACAGTGGTCAAAGAAGCATGGAACTGTCGCGAAGTCCTGACATCACACGTTCCGTGCGGCCTGGCTCAAGACTTTCACCACGTAGGCGGGCGCCATCATGCCAGAGGTGGCGCACATCCGGGTGTCACACGTCAGACTCGTCAGACACATTCCACCAAACGACCGGAGCTTCGGGAGCCGCTGGCCTTAAGATCGGAACTGCCCGAGATCATGAGCCTCGAATCCGGGAGTCGCCGCCAGTCGGCCACGAAGTTACCCCGCAAACGCCTCAAAAGAGTTCAATCATGACGGGATCCTCTGCAGAAATGCGAGCTTAGAGCCATGGCAGAGGCTACGGTGGAGGCTTCCTGTGGAAGCGCCCTCCAAGAGCTTGGCTTGGATTTAGCGTTGCGGTGACTGTGTGTTCAGGATGTGCTGATGGCCCAGGGCGGCAGCCTCACCGCGCTTCCGGCACGGCATCTCGTGAAGCCGCTTGGATCGGACCGTCCGATGCTTCGTGCGTTTTGGCCGAAGCCTGTCTCCTCCGAGGGCCGGCAAGAGCCCAAGCGTGAAGCTCCCATCGCTGCATCGGTCAGCGTCGGACTCTGCTGTGCGCTTGGGACTGAAAGATCCGAGTATATATTCCGGTTGAAATCCTCCTTTACAGCAGCTGTGACACTGACACTATTGCTGCGATGCGGACGGCGTCCGCTGACTGTGTCTTCGTGTGTCTTCAGTGGGTACATGTTCCGCTCGTGACATCTGCTGCAGTCAACGAACAGCGTCGATCATGGGTTTTGTGTTGACGAGATGTTGGTATTGGTGTGGACCAGTGATCACGGAGCGTATTGTAGCGTGAACTATTGCCAAGGACAGCTGTGAAGAAGCTTTCCCCAGCAGTTTATGGGAAGCGCTGGGCGAGCGATACTTGGATGCACCAGACTCAGACCAGACGAGTCCGTCGAGGTGAGGGTGGGAGAAGAGCCCAGCCAAGGAAAACAAGCGCTTCCTCCATAAGCGCCAGCAGCGACGATGCTCGGACTGCGGCCCCAAGATGAGAGAACCCATGCATACCGATGCCTGTAGTTCAGTCACGGACATGACTTGTCTGTCAGTCTGTCTTGTCGCTCTGGCATGTGGCCCCCCAAAGGCTGGCTCGAGCAGACCCAGCGAACGCGCTTCGTAGACTTCACGGCCGAGGAACGCGTGCTTGGGCTAAGTCAAGAGACAAAGTGGGCGGGCAAGTGCAACATTTCACTTTGCCTGCTCAAAGCCTTAACCTGACCAAGCCAGACTTTGATTAGTACTTGTCACCTGGCCAGAATTCCAAGGCCGAGTTTCGGAACTACTTCGATCACCTGAAAGGACTTGCAGTGTGGGGCTGCAGAGCATTCTGGGCTCATGCTGAGTTCGCAGGCTACAGTTACGGAGTTATTGTTCGCTTGGTCGCTTGCCTCTCTTGCGGCGCAAAGAGCAAAAAGGGACCCAAACCCGCAACTGAGAGCTTAAATGAGAGTAAAGCACACAATAACAATCCCGTATACCCGAACGCCACAAGATTGCCTTTCCGAGGGGCAAGATGCACACCCCATCAGTGCCCTGGAGACAGAAACGGAGAAAGACCTGTTGCTGGTGAAATTGTGATGGCTTGCTCCTGTGCAGCCGGTCTAGGAGAAGCAACAAGTAGAGAAGCACGGGACCAAGAGAACAACTCAACAAGGTTATCATCCCGTCAGGGTGTGCATGTCAATTTGCGTTCGTGTTTGTATTCCAGTTCTGACCCACCATCTTTTTCGGCGTGGCTAGACACACTAACGGACAGCTGTCGACAGATGAAGGCTGATTATGGACATTCCAATGCCACGCGCAGACAGTGAGCAGCGCTTTCAGGATGGCAATCGTGTGCACACGGGGCTTCGTCGGAGCAATGCGGTGCCGATCAAACGAACAAGCACTCCACACGAATGGACTTGAGAAGCATCGGCTCGCTGTATGGTACTGTTTGGTGAACAATGCCTCGAGTAGCTTCTTGGTTGCTGAAACTTTCGCTTGATCATCGACTGATGTCTGCCTACCACGACTTGGGAGTGGTCGGCCGAGTGGGTGGATAGTTCAGGATCAGGGATAATTAGCCGATGTAGCTGGCAGGACGCAACGGTCTGCTTCTCGACTGCACTCCTCGAACGAAGTGGTGAGGGGGCTGTGAGATTTCTTTGCGCAGGTCCCTAGTTATCTGCCAGGGATGGTAAATTTGCGTTTCATGTTCCGTGATCACGGAGCATGCCATGATGGATGCCTACCCGAGGATTCGTGGTGAGGTGATCGAGGACATGCTTATCGCCCTGGGAGTTGTCAACACGCAGGACTAGACCAGAAGAGTCTCAGGGAGACGGCTGACGTTGCAGCAACATTGCATCCTTGTCTGGTGGAGGTTGCAAGCAAGGAGGAGCCACTTCGGCTCGGCCTGAATTCGAAATTCAGGTCTGCTCCAGACCAGAGCCCTAGAGTAACTACTGTGGCAGTAGCTCCGTTTTCGTGTGCAGCAGGACGAAGTCTCCGGGTAGCTGAACTGCACCGAAGTTATGGCTAAAATATATGGTTAGACTGAAGCCGCCGCCATTCTTTCGCAGTGCAGCCGTCGCAGGCAGACTCCCCGGAGAGAGCAAGCTGGTGAAGCCTAATCAGCCCATTGACACATCTGAAGGCACCCAAACTTCTTTCAACACGAGATTCGAAACGTGAGTGCATTTTTCAGCAACCTCAGCCTCGAGCCTCGGACTCGCAGCGCATCCCTGAGTGCCCATCCTGGCCTTGTGCAGCTGAGGCTCATAGACAAGATCGACGCGCCTGTGGCAGCTTTAGTGGGTTCCTTCGAGCGATCACAAGAATCTCTAGTTGGCCGGGTCCAAGCGGTTCATGGCAGCTCCGCTTCTGGGCATCATGCGACAGCCGGGGTTCGAGACGGAGTGTCCACGCAAGGATCAGAAGACCCGCGAACTGGACTTCGAACAGTTTCTGGAGCTGATCACCGTCCGAAATGACTCCAAGACCATCCGAGTGAGCCTCGTCTGCTTTAGTTTCACCAACTCAAGCCTCTGGCAGCCTGGCCCAATCCACTTTGATTCGTGTTTCCAGCGTGATGGAAGGCGCTCTGAGGCCTGAGGACTTGGGGTGGTCTTCAGTGGTGGCAGAATGCTACAGAAGAGATTTTGGGTGGCATCCGCTTTTCAGCTCAACTGGATAATCCACGCGCCCCGATGCAGGTTCAGAGAGATGCTGGAGGCACGCTGCCTGAGCCATGGTGTGAATCCTCTTACGGTTGAGGTCCATGAGCCGGGTCTGGGATCAAGATCGCTCACCGTGGGTTTGTTGCCATGCAGGGAAAGCTCGGTGACCGGAACCTGAACTTCCAGACAGCCTCCTGGCCTGCAGTCAGGATATGTCGGGGTGGGGACATCGCCCAGCCTTGAGGGCCTTGAGGGCTTAACAGCAAAGGCATGCTCGTCAGAGAACCGAAACTCTCCACTTTTCAACCCGAGCTTTGAAAAGTGGGAATCGTGCGAGTGAAGCCAGCCGCTGTGAGGTCTTGTCGCAGTATCGTCGACAGCGACTCCTCGACGGTTCTGCAGCCAGCATTGGTACAAGTAGGGCTGCCAAGCAGCATCGTGTCTTTGTCCGTGTGAAGACCCTGAAAGTCTTTGCAGGTTCCGGTTGCATGGAGCGCTGCTCGCCGGAGCAGAGGGAGCTAGGGTGCAAGGCGCAGCTTGGCGCGTGCTTTGCACGTGCAGTTTGCCTCCTCGTATTATGTAAACTTGGCCTTCTGCAGGTCTTGAAGAACTTCACAGCTGCTTGGACCGGTAGTGGCGGTAGAGGCGGTAAGCCCTGCACATAAGGCCAACGCTTCTTTAAGCCACATTCTGTGGGTTCCTGGTTCCGGAAACTGGGTGCCCAGGCCCGACAGAGCGCATCCATTGATGATCTGCAGCAGGCATACTCAAGCTAAACTTACACGCGCCCAGGAGCTGACTCGCAATCGCAACCGCAGAAGGAGCCGCTGGCGATGCTGGAGAGCATTTTGCGTCGTAGCTTTGTCCCAGTGCACATTTCGTGTCAAACACCACCCCCCCACGCTTTGGGACGGATGACGTCTCATCAGATCAATCGGTTCAAGCTTTGTACTGTAAGGACTCTATCTCAGGCTGCAGCGGTTGTACTGTTTCTGTTACGTGCGATGGATGTGGTTTCTTGTGGCTACTGTAGGAACCCCCGGGACGAAGTGCTGGAGCTTCTCGACGAAGAGGAGAAGGAGGAGGCCTGTGTCAGAACTGGGGTGCAAGAGATTGTTTCTAGAATTGTTAGCTTCAAGTCGCATACAGTCCATCAGCCTTCAGTATTTCGGAAGTCGGTTGTCGGGGAAGGACCTGCCAGTATGGATCGGACTTAAAGACCCTCCTCGCACAGAGCTGCTGAGTCGCCCGCTCCATTGTGCTTCTTGGCCTAGGCGCCCTTGGGAGGAATGAAAACGCTGTGGCGAGGCTCCGTGGGATGTAGGATGATGTACTGTAGGTGACAGGGTCGTAGTTCAAGCTTGGAATGACTTCACTGGCCTCACCCGGATACCGCAGCAGCCGAGTGTCTACCGGGCACTCTTGCAACTGTCCCGCTGGCCTCTAGAGCAGCAACCGTTGACTAGGCCTCTGCACAGAGCACAACTTGACGCCCTCGCGGCCCACATCGAGATCCCGGGCCGCTTGGAGATTCCCATATACTCCAAGCTGG